ATTCATTTAAGGTATGGTTAAGAGAAGATCCCCAAAACATGGAAATCGATAGGGGACGCCCTAACTCAAAAACCAAGAGAGAACAAGCAAGTAATTTTGACGCCACCTCATCCGTCGTGATCATGATCATGATCATCATGATCATCATGATCATGATCATCATCATCATCATCATCGTCTCTCAGGCGTCGTTTTTGAGAGCAGCAACTCACGAATCCAAATCGGATTATCGGTTCAGTTCAGCTGATAAGGCTCGGGCTTGTCGGCAATGGGGACCTGACATGTACAGCTCAATCACGATTTGCTTTCAATATCCTGCAAAGGAACTCGATTCCATGTCTCTACAGCTCTCAAGAAATCAAGCCATGGCGAGGGTGAGGTGGTGCTGGTGGTGCTGACGCTGGCGGTGCTGGTGCGGGTGCTGCTGTGGTGGTGGTTGTGTTGCTGCGTGTGGTTTGTGTGGTGTGTCTGTGTCAGTTCGTTTTCGGGCTCTGAGCCCCCCCCTGCCATGTGGGTGTTTCCCTAAAAATTCATGAGAATACAGGCCCCTACAGTGGGGTTCCTACTACAATATGGGTTGGGAACAGTGCCATGTGCTTGGGTGTTGCCGGAGCTTTGTGGCCTTCAATATCCGTCAATATCTGTCCAGTTCTAGGGCCGAAGTCATGTGATTGTCTAAAGTGCTTGTGGGATCTGTGTCAGCTGTCTTGGCACACGTCTCAGACCAAGGAGCTGTTGACCGAGTTTTCCAGCCTTGTCGACTGCCAGCCGACTATGTGGAACATTGCGAGGGACAGCTGGGGCCTTGTTCAGAGCGCAAATGAGGTGTTTTCAGGGATTCGGCCAGTCTAGCTGTCGACCTCTTTGCAAGCCATGCGCACACATCTTCCAGGTCGCCGCCTTGTGGCCAACGCGTAGCCTTCGCGGCGAAGTACTGGCACCACTTGATGCGCCAGTTTGCAGGCACATGGTGGTGCTAGTGGCATGCGTTGTCAGATCTGAAATGTTGACATCGCTCAAGAGACTGGCAAGGGCCATGCTGTGGGGGCTCTCGGGCATCGGATCACGTTCCTTCGCGCCGACCACAAAGTGCGCACAGGCTCAAAACGAATCCTGGAGCCATAAGATTCTGATTGCCATGCTTGCTGTTGCTTTGGCTCCTGGGTGCGGCTGTCGAAGTCTTGCTGATTGGAGCTTTTGTTTGAAACGAGTGCAGCAGTGCGCACCATCTTGGACCGCAGCCAGCCCTGAACCCACACAATTTGTTTTGCAGCCATCATCGCCGTTTCTTAATACAGTGTTTCATGTGCCATTGGGCAAACAGTGCGGCTACTTGCACTTTGAGTCCTTTGTAGGGAAGACGTCCCAAGCTCGAGAACACCGACTCCTCCTTGCAGGCAGTCGGTGAATGCAAAAGCTCCGGATGTCTTTGCACATATTTTGTGAGCAGCTTCAAAGTTTCATGCTAGCTAGTTGTTTGGGCGGCACCGTGAGGTGCTAATCCCGCTTGTTAGGCCGCACCTCGAAGTCGCGACCGCGGCTTCGCTTTTCGAATTCAACCGGCGAAGTCAAAAGCAGGGGTCCCAAGACATCATATCTTATCATACCTCTAGACCTCCATGGAACATCAGAGACCAATCTTTTGGCGAATGCCTTCGTCTCACCAATACGGAAAGTGTCAGCCAGCAATCCATTGTGATCTGTATGCCTGAGCTTTCAAGTTGTACAGCACAAAGCATGCAAAGAATGGCAGCACCTACCTTCGTAGGGTGCAAGTTTGTCTTCACGGCGTGTCTTTTGTAAAAATGTATGGCGCGCTGCACACCAGCAGATTAAGAAGATGTTGATGAAGCCTTCAGTCAGTGCTCCTGGTCGCTAGACACAGAGAGTGAACTCTGGAACTCATGCCAGACCACACATACCAGGCATGCCCACATGCAGACATACATGCACACTGTCATTGACAATTCAGGTAGGATCAGGTACGTTTGAGTGAGGGGTAAGATCGAACAGCTAAGGGCTATGCATATATGTGTGTGTATATATATATGATATACAACTTGTATACATTATGTATTTTGCCATATATATATACACATAGACATATATACTACAGGAATACGCATTTGTATAGGTGTATCAGTGCATTTACAACACGATGTTTCTAGTGAGAATCTACCGCAGCAATTCACCAACTCACAGTGTGTCGCCCTTGGTGCTTTGGAAGCGCTCGACATGGCAGGCCGTTCCTTGTGTTGTTCTACTTGTCATCTATGGTGATTAACGATAATCCATTATAATATTCGACAACATTGTTTTCATACTACAGTATACCTTAGTATGCTGTAACAGAGAAGATGATTCCGGGAAAAGTTGCAGTCGGATCCCAAGCAACATTGCCTACGAGGCCTAGACGAGCCTAGACTTGGAGTTTCGAGAGTTTTCCACAGAAATCCGTCATGACTGAGAGGCCTCTGCGGTGCGGCGAGGTTGGCCTGAGCTGGAAGCTCCTTGCCTGCTGCTCATTGTGCCATGTGAAGCATATGCATCGCAGCCCTCTAGAGGCTGCGAAACTCAGACAGATGCTTGTCTACGCAGTCAAAGCAGGTGTGTTGTGCTGTGTTTGCGGGACTGAGGGGTTGCTGGAAGGGCCGGTGAAGGTGTCCCCGCTGCTTGATTATCGTCTCCATGTCCCATGTCCGAGCACTGTGACTGTGAGTTCGACTGCCCGGCCACATTCTTATTGCGGCTCAAGTTTCAATCGTGGCTCTGCCGTCAGGATTTGTAACCTGACGCGTACAGTTTTTGCGGGGCCGCGGGGGGTGCACAGTAGGTTGCTATGAGGCTGCATGCGGCTTGCAAAGCTCAGGCTCAGCTACTGGCCATGACTCTCATGCTGACGGCAGGGAATACCTGGACCCAGCTTGAGATTCAGAGTGGCTCGAAGCCTGCGGGCCGTAGCAGGGCCACGATGACCTGGGACACCGAAAGTGAAGGCCTTTGGATGTTTGGCGGTCAAGATGTTAGTGACTGGAGCTTTACTGGCGCCTTCTACTTCTATAGCTTAACCTCGAACACCTGGAGCTTGAAGACGGGCAATAACATGCCAGAAGGCCGATGGATGCACTCTGCAGTCCTTGACACAGCCAACAGAGCCATTTACATATTCGGAGGTTCCAAGCGTAGTCTTGGGAGCACCACACCTGGCACCACCTTCAGCGACCTTTACAGCTTCACCCTGGTAACTTGCTTTGTTTTAAAGAGGGAAGGAAAGAATATGAACGAATGATACTACTGGTAACTATAGCAATGTCCATTCTTTTTCATTCCCCACTACACCGCAGTAAGGCAACGGAACAATGGAATCAGCTCTCCAGTGGGCCAGTTGCTTCTTCGAGGCACGCAGCTGTTTGGGACACCACGAGGGGTTGTATGATCGTGTTTGGTGGGGAGTCTGATAATGGCACGAAGCTCAGCGGCATGCAGGAGTACTTTGCGAAGTCTGACGAGTGGACTGTTTCCAGTCCCACAGGTACAGCCCCATCTGCACGGTTGGGGCACCTTGCAGTCTGGGATACTCTCTCAGATGTGATGCTCATGTGTTGCGGGCATGGAGATGCTTCAGTATATGTTCCCTACACTAACAGCTGGAGTACCACCTACAACGACTTGTGGAGCTATGCTGCGGGCACTGGTTGGGTCGAGCTGGTGCCATCAGGCAGTTTCACGCCTCGAGGTGAGGCTGCGGGCGTTTGGGATGCTACGATGGGCTCCATTCTTGGGTTTGGTGGATATTTTGACCAAGTGGGCCACATGAACTCTATGTTTGGGTATACTGCTACGAGCAACTGGACAGAAGAGACTGTCGGGGGAGTCAGTGCGCCTCTCCCACGCGATGGGCATGCGGCTACATGGGACCCTCAGGCCAGACAGCTTTACATGCTTGGGGGATGGGTCGGTAGCACCTATGAAGGTGTGCTGTGGCGCCTGGATGCTGCAAACTTGTCGTTGCTTTCTGTCAGAAGCAGCACTGCAGCGACGAGTAGCACTGCGCCTGAATCCACTACTGCAGCGACAGGTGCAACACCTGCGTCGACTTCAGCACCGTCTGTCTTTGTGCAGACTGAGCAATCAGAGTATGAAGCCGCGATAGGGTTGCTTTCGATGCTGGCCCTGGAGTCCAGCAGCTCCAACAGTTCGAACAGCTCGGCCAACGCATCGACTGGAATCTTGGGGAGTATCATGGTGGATGATGGGCTATCTCTGGTGGTTGTCTGGGCCTTGAAGTTGGTCTCCGGAGGTGCGCCAGTGGAGCTGGAGCTCTCTGGAGCCCTGAGCCTGGGGGTGCCACAGGAGGTCATAGCTCAGGCCACGGAAACATCTTCAGACGAGTTTGTCCTGGTCACTGCTAGTGTTCCCTCCGCCGCCACCTTTGCAACACCTTCTGAGTCCTTGATCTCCCCGCTACTGAGTGTGAACTTCCGTGCGGCAGACTGCAGACGGCTCCCCATGCATGCGCTTGCAAGGCCGGTGGAGCTGAGGTTTGGCGTCCAGAGCAACCAAAGCAACCAAGGCCAGTGCAGGTTTTGGGATGAGGAGAAAAATCGATGGTCCGAGAAGGGCGTCAGGCGTTCGGATTCGTCGGATCTCGCAGCTTACTGTTGTTTAGAGGGGAATGACAGAAGGGAGGATGATTCAAAAGTTACATTGTATATCCAATATCATTTTTCCATTCCCCCTGCAAGAGTAAGGCAGTGGGTACAGTGGTTTGCCTCACAAGCCACTTGACCATCTTCGCAGTCGTGCTGGAAGCGGTGAAAACGGTGCTGCAGTGCTCCACAGCCGCCCAGGTCTTGTCAGCCGAGGGGTTCCGGAATATAGGCGTGTCTCACAAAAATCAGGCCCCCTTACTCCATTCCCTGAATTTCTTGACAGCACTGGACCCCCCAAAACGAGGAGGGACCTCTTAATGTTGATAAACTCCCATACAGGCGCGGTCCAGTGGCTACGTGGCACAGCAAGCATCTTCTTCCTCGTCTCCATCGGCCTCTTCGCTGTGGCGCTGGCATGGGGGTGGTACTTAGACCTCAAGGCCTCCCGCACGATCCCTGCGGAGGAGGTAGAGGCAGCCCTGATGGTGAGCCGCATGGGCCAAGCCCACAAAGATGGGGAGGAAACGGAGGAGCCAAGGGAGAAATCTGGCCAGGAAGGTGGCTGCTGCATGAACTGCTTAGATAGTTCTGTATGGCTAGCCTCTTCGATCTTTAGCATCCCTGCGACGGATTCGGTGTCAGAGCTTTTGGACGCCAGAGTGGCCACAGTGAATCGGTGCATCTCCTCGGTCCACTCCTTCCGAGCCGGTGCGTGCCGACAGAGCATCAAAGTGGCCATGGCAGGCAAGGATCAGCTCCGGTCCTCTCTGTCCCGGAAATGGCAAATCCACTACCATGCAGCAGTGGCCGTTGAGAAGTTTTTGTCCAGCTCCTGGCTGCAGCGTGTGATGATCTTGCTGCCTTGCATGCACCCCTGGGTGACACTGCGGCTTGCAAGCATCTTCAGACCGCATGTTGTACGGGCGGCCTTGGTTATCCTAAAGCTCGTGAGTGCAGCTTTCACAAACGCCATGTTTTTCACCAGCACTGGAACACAAGCGATGGGCTCGGATGATGAGTGCACAGAACCACAGAATTTTTCAGAGAAGCTGCTTGCTGCTACCATCGTAGGGTTCTTCTCTGCATGCATGGGAGACGTGCTTATCGTTGTGTTGGCTTTGGTGCAGCGGCGAAATGTGCTGATTCGAGACCGCTGGACAGAGAAGATGAAGAAATCGCAGCTGCGGCGGTGGCGTGCGAGGCGTCTGATCTTCTGGTTCGTTTGGTTTATTGCAATCGTGTTTTCCATCCTTTATACAACATCCTTCCTCGCCAACGTCAGCGCGCCTGATGCGTCCAGATGGTTGGAAAGCACAGGAGTCAGTGTCTTGCAAGACTTTCTGTTCAGGCCCTTGCTTTTGGCTCTGGGATATGCTACATGTTCAACCCTCGTCTTATGCAGCTCGCATGTTAGAGAGACAGTGGAGAAACAGTGGACGCGCCCAGCCGCGGTGGACCTCAGTCCTGCAGAGCCTATTTGCTCCACGAACGATGCAGGCAAAGATTGCAAGTCAGTTTGTGCAGTTGAAGATGATTCCCTCGTTTCCAACATCATCATGAGCGAGCTCGTGTGAGCAAAAAGGGTAAGTCTGGCATGGCCCAAGATGTTCAGATGGCGACGCGCAACTCCTTTTTAGAAGGAAAGATGCCGTTCAACAATGTTGTCAGATGATGTCAGATGGTTTTGTCCGCTTGTGCCTGGCATTCGATGAATTTTTATTTGCCACTACTTTTGCGGCTGCGGCCACTACAACTACCATTACGTGCCACTACAATTCCTGCTCCTCCTCATCATCCTCCTCCTACTACTACTTCTGTTCTCTTGAGTATTACTACTATTACTACCACTACTACTGTTATTACTTCCACCACCTAGTGTGCAATGTACACAGGCCCCGGTTTGAGAAACGTGGGGTTCCTTTTTCCTTGCTTGGAGCTTATTTATCAATGCAGTAGCCGCACCATGCACTACGCAGGATGCAGCAAGAGCAAAAAGCCTGAACAGGGGTCTTCTCAAATTTTGGTGTGTTTTTGGAGGTAGATATATTAAGCAGCTATGTTTGTGTGAAGTGCAAGTGCATGGTATGCAAAGGATCCCTACTCTGCAAAACGTTTCTGTTAAGGGTCCACGGTTGAGGGTTGAGATTTAGGGTTGAGGGTTTAGGATTTAGGGTTGACGTAGGGTCTTGGGTCTGTTGTTGCTTTGGCTTGAGGCTTCGCTCGCATGCTTCCCTTGCATGCTTCTGGACTGGGCATAGGGGCTCTTACCGCATAATAGTAACCATAACAGTGACCAATAACAACAACGATAGTAGCCATAAGGGTAGCTCTGGCAATGGAAAAACAGTGTCAATATCACCACTACACGATGAGAATAGTGTGAAAAATAGGAACAACAAACACAGTCATAGTACGGGAGAGAGTTTGGAGTACTGTTGTTTCAAAGCAAAACCGCCCCCTTTTTTGTACAACTTAGTCTTATAAGGAAAACTAGGACCCCGACATTCAAAAAGATGCTTGCTGGGAAAGCCAATTATAATCAGAGGTTTCCACGACTCTTTGGGCTGGGGGCATACTTTTGCAAGTGTAGGCAAGTGTGCTTCCTCTCACCTGCACTGTCCCGGGTACCAAGCCTAGGGGCCTAGAGAAGTATGAGTCGAGACCTCACCTCACCCACCTCCCTCTTCCACCGACCCAGCCCTGATCCGATTGTCATGAAGTGTTGGAGGCGTTGGAAAGCGTGGCAGGATGCATGTTGGCGTCTTGTGCGTTCAGCATGTCTCTCTTGATGCCCCCACTCTCGTAATGCTAGAGCTGACGTCTCTTTACGCGCCAGGCACTATCACAAGCTTCAACGCGGTTCTGATCCCGTCCATCTCTTACCTTATCCTTTGCAAGCCTCGACTCAGCGTGTGTGGAAGGGTTCTTTGCCAGTCCACTGAGCAGTTATGTGACAGACAGGCGTTTTCGGAGCAAAGCTTACTGCCCTTTCCCGTGTTTGAAGTGATGCGCCATCATGCAGCTGCTAGTACTAGTGGAGAGCATATGAGCGAAGTTGACAGGCCAGCTACTACTGCGCAGTGTGCTATGCTGCCCTCGGCGCAGTGCTGTCAATCTCGCTGATGGCTTCCCTTTGGTTCCTGATAAACTCTGCGATGCGCTGACCAAGTTTCCCACGAAGACAGCTGACCTGTTGGACTGGAGAAGTGGGCGCGCAGCGCCAAGGATCCTCCGCTTGGCCAGGGATCCAAAGAGGATTTGCTGCCTGTGCATGCAAGTAAGTGTTGGAGAGGCTGTACCGGCTGCGGCGAACAAGGCATGAAATGGCCAAAGTGCCACTCGAAAGTGACTCCTAGTTTTTCCTGCGGTGCCCAACGTATGGCAGTCTGAAAACTACCTGGCCGCAGCCTATGCAGACCAGCGCCAGGACTGTAGCCTGCTGAGATTGCTCTGCAGATGCCACTGCGGATAGTGGCGGCATACATGAAATTCCGGGATACGCCGCCATAAAAAATGCAAGCTAGATTTGCCACGCTGCTTGTGTTGCAGAAGGAGAGGTCTTCTAGTTCTGCGAGTGTCAATGTGCGGGCTTTCGAACGGTTGCCCCGCAAAGTTGCGATCCGAAGATGCCGTCTGTTTGATGTGAGCAGCTCCGCGAGATACCCTGAATTGCAGCCCTGGAGAGAAAGTAATGAGGAGCGGAGTTTCAAGTACTTGCACTGCTGACCGACTGCAATTTTGGGCTCCAGCGTTGGCCAGCTGCCCTGGACTTGTAGCCCCGATCTCAGATCTCAAGTCTTGAGCTGCAGAACATCAGGTGCTCCAGGGAAAGGGGGATGCGTGAGGCTTCGTAAGGCTTGCGGGGTGTAGGCTGCGAATTTGCTTTATGGTTCAGACCCTGGATGTACGCTGATCCTGTTGCTCAAGTCTAGGTGATGGAGTCTTGTGTCAAGTCTGGCAGTCTAAACATGGCAGAAGTCCCTCCAGAATCCAGGTGCATCCTCGTCACATAGTGTTGACCAACAAGTCTGACTTTCTGTGTCCTCTGCTGGTGCACTGTGCAGAATTACGGAGACCCGCTTGCTCAGGTGATGAGAGGGCAGAGCCCTCAGGTATGAAGAGACTCAGCAAGGCAACATAGCGCAAGCAAGTGTTTCGCAACCACAGGGATTTCAGAATCGGGAATTTCTCTCATCGTTCTTAGTGAATTTTAGCCAAGCCTATTGTTGGCAGTTTGGCCAATGGCCAGCATCAACTGATAAGCACACATTAATGGTCATAAATGCGTAAACATCTTCGGAAGTTTAGAACGGCGGGTTTTGGCAGTGCAGCTGACATAGCTCTGAGCTGAGCCCCGTGGTGTCGCCGGAACCTCGGCATTCTCAGCGATTTGCTGTGATGTTTGTGGTCACATTCAGGTCAAGATTCCTTGCCAAGGGTTCAAGATTAATTAAGTCTCACCACATGGCAGAGCCTGGTGACAGCCTCCTGGAATCCCCCAAAAAACAAGCAAACTGGCTCGCTAACTAGCCTCGCGAGGCTGAGCTTCTGATCGCTTGAAGCATTGGCCTGCGAGCAAACCTGTAAGTGCCCTTCCCCAGCCGAGGTTGCAGTCATGGCGCTTCCCGTTGCCATCCAGTCGCTTAGCAATGATTGTCAGAGCAGGACCAGTGCATGCGGGAGCACGTAGTAATATCTTTTCGAGGCAGACCATCATGGATGTGCAGAGCCATTACAAGAAGCTACATGAGCAGGCTGGTGGGCTTTGTTGCTTGAGCAATTCAATGAACAAGAGAACACGAGCCGAAGACGGCGGAACTGAAGCTGACATCCAGCTTGGGAGCAGCTCCTGATTGAGTTTACCACAGAGTGCTCTGAGACCATTTGCGCTTGTCAACCGAATCGTTTTCCGAGCTTCTCATGATGAAAGCCAGGTCCTCAACCTGCAAAACGAGAACTTGGACTGAGCACTGTGTTTTTTTTGTTTTTTTTTGTTGCTGTGTTGGTGCTTGTTCCGCCACGGTCATCTTCTCTTGATCTGTCCTGCAGCTAGCAGACAGGTTGACACACCACCGTTCGAGGGCTTCGAATTTACTTGTGCGCTTGCAGGACTTGAAGAAAGAGCTCCAAGAAATGGGAACACGTTCGCATTCGAAGGCCGCAGTTTGCCTTTTTGTCACGTTGTCGCCCCTGGCCACGCTGCATGTCAAAGAGAACAACTCCCACCGATGACTGCAAAGCCAAGATTCAAAAACATGGCTTGGGAGGTCATGGAGTCCCTCATCAACGAGAACCACCGTCTGAAGGCTGTTCCAACCTTTGGAGCCACTACGACGCCCCGAGGTAATCACATTTTTGACTACACGGGGTGGCCGGACTCTCCACTGCAAGCATGATGGTCTCATAGTCCGGACAATGCATCACAGCTCGCGGCTGCTAAAGCGGCCGCCGCCATTCTCAAGGCGTATTCACTCTGAGAGAACTTCATCCCCGCAAGTCGCATCTGTGGAGTTGCGGAAGGCGCAGGTGCGCTCCATCGAAGGGCCAAGCCCGCCCGGCTTCGCCTCGCCGCAGCCACGGGGGCGAGGGTGGATGTGCACTGTGATCTAGTCCCTCTACGTGTAGACACATTAAACGTTTCGGTACTTAATTTCGCGCTCTAATCTGAAGCCCAAGAGGCAGCTGACTTTTCCGACGCGTGAGCCCCAAGGGATGAAGATGAGCTGATCTCCATCAAAACGCAGTCGCAGTCGCCCTTCGGCAGCAGATGAAGGATGTGAGCCTTTGTCGAGACGCTACTTGTAGCTGCATGGCTTCAAATCAGGATCGAGGTGCCGGAAGTTCGAGCTCGGATTCGAAAGGCCGGCTGTCCATGAACTTGGCAGGGAAACCTTGAGGAGATGTGAGCGTGGGGGTTACCATGGGTTACCACGGAATATCGTGGAATCAAAACATCCAGTGCGTTCACGGCAGCACATATACGCAGTTTTATCAGACGACGTGACGACCGGGAGAGTATAAGAGGCTGCCGACTTCTTGCATGAGCTTTGCCTTTTGGTTTGATGGACGCCGTGTCCTTTGCCCGTTTGCCTGCCAGGTCAGCACGCAGGTGCCAGCCTCAAGCTGCCATGAAGTTGTTGTCTCTCAAGAAGAAGATAGGACACATTCATGCTGAAAAAGGAGCTCGCGGGCCAGCTTGTGGCAGGTGCTTGTGCGATCAATGTGCTTGTTGCAGGCGGTGCACGATGCTGTCCACATCCGGAAGCACATGATGAACGGAGATGCGGCGTGGACCTTAAACAGTTCGACTACACTTGAAGTAGCTGACCTGCGGCAAAGCGAGAATCAGCTGGAGCTGCCCCTGCTGCTGTCTCTGTCGCGTTGAGCTGCTTGAGGATAGCGAAGACGGCTTCCTTGCCAGCGACAAAATCAAGATGCTCAAGACATGGGGAGGGAGGGCTACATGAAGCCATCCGGGCTGTCAGGTCCTTGCAAGTGTTGTGGAAACCGCTGAAGTGACAATATCCTGTTCGGCCTGCTGCATTGGCCGGCCTCAATAGGAACGCAGGCTGCTCCATGGTGCGTGGGCTTCGCAGGAATGATCCTTTCGCAGACACGCCAGTAGACATCTCACCGCTCTGGTCTCAGAAAGTTGAGCACTACAGTTTGGAAACCTGCCGCAACACTATCCCCCTGTAGCTTTTTTGATCCGAGGCCGCTGTTCTCTACGAAGTCGGTCTTCGGTCTGTGCAGACCTGAGCTTCTGCTTTTCAAGCATGGAGTTTGTGGAATGAGGACCATGGAGAAGGGGGAGCAGTTCCCAAGAAACCTTGCTGATCTTTTGTGTTGCATGGCAGTGTCAAGAAATATTATATATATATATACATATGATATACGTATGGTAGGGGTGTAAGAGTAAGACGCTCCTCGAGTCCCTCCAGCAGCAGACCCTCTGCCATGGTCTTGCGAGGTGTTTCCCCATGGACCCGCGAGCACCCCAGAAGGACCTTGTCGGAGCCAGGTTGTGTTTTGGCGGGTTGACAGATGGGATCCCATGTTGACGACCATCGCTACAACGACGCTTTGGACCGGACTTTCGTAAACCCAAACACTCATATTTCTTTCACAGCCACAGCAATCTTGCTTCATGACTTGTGGGGGAATGTGGGCCTGGGGGAAGGATGAGAGTACACAGGCTGAGCTCATGCAGAGAATGGCGTAAGTCAGTCACATCAAGCGGCAAGCGCACCTTACCTTTCACCCTCGTGCGCAGTAGATCTACTGCTGTTTGTAACGTTGCCTCTGAAGTTAGCCTGCTTTCAGAATTCTGTTTGGCCTCCGAGTACATACTTGACAGCTTGCATATCCGCCTTTGCCTTTATGCAAGTTTATCAAGGATGCCCATGGGATTGTCATGACATGAGCTCTGCTACGCGAAGAAGTAGCTACACTGGACTTTGCAAAGCGCAGCTGTGCTTTTCTGCATGCATCCCTGGACCCAGCTGCCTGAACACAGTAGGAGGCTGGTATTCAGTACCAGCAAGCTAGTCTTGTCCGCCGCACTTTGTTAGTCTCTCGCTGTATGGTTGTCTGTGATCCGTGTTCGTGCTTGAGACCTGCGGCCCTGAGAGAGAGTCCAGGAGCGCTTGACGAAAAGGTTCACCAATGGCCTTTTCTTCAAGTCGCCCGGCTCTCGGATCTGAAGTCTTCATAAGGCTGACCGGTTGGCTCATGGCATGGCAAATTTGGCAAGCAAGGATTACCATGTTCGCAATCGCCGCCAACACTCTATACCTGGGCCAAGTCCTCATCCGCTGCATGCTGTCATTTTGTGCTGAGAGAATTCTTGCGTTAAGCCAAAGTGGCATTGCTTGTTTGTGTTTTCTACTCTGATCTACGTCTTCTAGACGTGAGCGTTTCCCTTATCTCTTGAAACGGCAATTTGGTGTCAACATTGTTCACTTTGCTGCTGTGCTTCTGAGCACCTGAATGATGGGAGAAGAAAGAGCAATGCTTGCTTGTGTTGGTGCTGCTTCGAGACGGCGCGAATACTAAATTTGCGTGCATTTTTTCTGGTGTCATGCCACATGTGTCATGATCAGATACTTGTGGTTATCCTTAGCTCAATCTTAGCTCCATGCAGCTACTCGTGCAGTCGTACAGTCCGTGCTTGCTGTGCTCGAGGTTTTGCTGCCAACACAAATGCCCGAGCCTTGGTGGATGCTAACGTGGTGTTCGTAGTATTTGGCTCCATGGAGCGGGGCCCAAAGCACAGCGTCACTTCTTGCTGTGAAAGGTGGCAGGTCTAGCTGAAGATGCGTGTTTGCAGCCGTGATTCCATCCTTCCAATTTTCAAGCGTTTGGACGTTTGGGTTCACTGTTTTTGGAATGGGCGCCAGACTGCGTGTGAAGGCCCAAGAGAGCAAAGCTGGCAAGCCCAGGTCATAAACAGCTACAGACGCCTTCAGAACCTCCCGGTGGAAGAGCACAGAGCAACCTGTCCTGGAACATCTTTGTTTTCGGTGAAGATGGCAATCATGGCGTTAGTACCCCCGGCATCTTGCGAAGTCATGGGATGGCACATGTAAAACATCAGAAGCACTGACAAGGAGCAGCGGTTGAATCAGTTCGTAGTACATCGCAGGTCAAAGTCCATTGTGCATACAGATGCATGAATACGTGATTGCTTGCAAATTGCTTACGAGGTTGAGTATGACATCGCTTTCACAGGCCGGAGCTCTGAGTCAAGCCTTTGGGCGGCCCTGAAATCTTTTGAAACTTTGCGCTGCGAAATGGGCACTGGCGTGTTCGCTTGAGCGTGCAGATCACTAGAAAGCCCAAGCATTCAGTTTGCCATTCCCTTCTCTCGAATCTCTGCTGCGCAGCTTGGTTCGGCGTTGAGCTCCTCATTAAGATGATAGCTGACCGAATGCCTGGCCCTCTGACTGCTCCTTCGGGGTGAGGGCTGTGCACCGCTGTGCACCTCAAGAGCACTTTCCCCGGAGCTTCTCGATCTCCATGAAGTCCCATTAGCGCTTCCGTGTTGAGCCTGTACCACGACATTTGCTAGAATCTTGTTTGCGTTTGAAGGTCGCCCCTGATCTGAAGCGTTGTGTGATCCTGAGGCAATTTTTCGTGGGGGAAGAGAGGCGCAGAGCCCAGCAAGGTATAGCCGAGATGTTGAAAGCTTGCGCGGAGGGCGCGGTTGGGGCACCGAATGCATGATGTCTGCTGCATTAAGACCAAAGGCCCCAGGCCGCAAGACCCATGAAGCAGGTCTGGCCCCACAACAGCAGGAGGCTCTGTCAAGACCCAAGAAGATATATTCCGAAAACAAACTCCATGTTGCCAGAGTGATGTATCCGTATGCATGACAGCTGCCTCCCCTTTCTCTCGCCTGTGCCTCGCCCAGGGCTTGGAACTGGTTCGACATGGCTCTGGTGGCAGAGTCCTTTATTGGCCTGTTCTCCCAAGGTCAGCTTGGGCTTCATGCAGAATGTGGAAAGAGTTGCATGGCTAGTGCCCTCTAATTCCACCAGCCCGTGTGAAGGCACCAGTGTGAGCTGAGCAATTTCCCCAACGCCCTCAGTAGAATCCTTGTGCAGACATTGAACGTGTCCAGCCTGACCCACGAAGGATCCAAGCTCTCCTTTTTGCGGATCTTCCGCGTCTTTCGCCTGGTGTTCCACTGAGATGGTGATCAATACCTCAGGTGTAGAAGAGACAAAAAGCTTCCCAGGTGCGCGTCGTCAAAGTCGTTCGATCCGTGAAAGCTTTAGCACGGCTGCCAGCTGCCTCAGCGGCTATCAACCTGGCTGTGATTGTTCTCATCCTTCAGCAACGTGGTGCTTTTCACCTGGGGCATTTCCGGGTTCTGGAGAGACTCTTGGAACCCATTCGCGTAGGGAAGAGATATTCATGAAAGACGGTGAGCTAAAAGCATGAAAGATGTCAGCCAGCTGGAATTCTTCATCTAGGCAGATTTCGCAGGTTGAAAGAATCTTCCCGAGGCGCACGATGATTTTTGCCATCCTGAGCTCCTTTGCCGGGCACCCGGCAAGGGAGAGACGAAGTGTCCTACTGCTTGTGCAAAGGCAATTGGAGGGCCAATTGAGACATCTAACGTCGCGGTCGGTTGGATGCCTCACATCTGATTACAGGATGGCGTATACTTCAAGACTCGAAAGCATTCTGGACTTTCAAACTGTTTGGCAGTGTGCAATTGGCAAGCTTGCAGGCTAGTGCTTGCGTGCGTTCCCGTCACTCGATGGCTCACTTGACCTGATGACATGTAAATTCGACGTTAGACATACTAATTCGTTTTCAAGCTCAAAGGTTCTATCGTCTCACGGTATAGCCAGCTGGTCACAGCTAGTCTTCATGTGCAGTTTTGACAAGTTCTTCCTTCCTCCAAGAGTCTCCACACAGCGTGCACCTCATAGCATCGGTTTTTGGCATCAATGCGATGTTTGGGCCATCATTGAAGAATAGTTTCTTCCCATCTCAACTGCCGTGTCTCCGCGTACATGTGCTGGCATTTTCCCACCTCACAAGTTACCTTGCCCTGACGACAGGTCGACCTGCTGTGGGCTTTCTTGGCTTCTTGGCGAGCACCAGCAGGTGGTTTCTGGGGGCGACCGGCAATCAGTGCATCGACACCACTGTCGATTGATTGGTTTTCAGAGGAGAGCCAGCTGACGCAGTCAGTTCAACCTCATTAGGACCTTGCCCTCATTTGTGATGCTTGGAGGTCACGAATGGGTATTGTGCTAGGCATGAGTCGAAACCTTCCACACGAAGCCTGAACTTTGGAGGCAATTTGCCCAGGTTATAGTACTGATCATGTTCGTCTTCGCGATCGTCTTTGACAATGCAGTGGCCAGGACCATAGCAGGTCGTCTGGAGACTCTGAGTTTAGGACCTTTTTCGCAGGTTTCAACGCTCCCGGGCCTCCACAGGCTCTTTTTGGGCGCTTAGGCGGATTACTTCGACGGGATCACTGTGGACTGGAACGCCACCAACACAGAGCTGGCCAGATCCCTCAGTGATCGCAAGATGCCAACAGCATATCAGTGCAGCGAGAGGGGAATTCAAAGGCCTTGTCGGCACACCTGAGTCTTGCTTTGCATTGACCTGTACACAGAGCCTGAGTTGTCGTGATGTGTCATGATACAACGCGGCATTGCGCGTTCATCAATTTCCTGCTCGCAGGTGGACGAAGTTGTAGCAATGAACATGCTGCAGCGGCCTGAGCTGTTTCAGAAGTACTGGTTAGTTGTGACTGCAAAGGCAGTGTTCAATGCAGCCTGCTCACCTTGAGACTTCAGATGGAGAAAATTTTGGTATTTGCATTGAGGGTCTGGCCTCTGAAGTTGAACACTTCATTTTGTGTGGGCAGCCATGAAGCATGTTGGAACAGCCTCAGGTTTGGCAACCTCCTTGAGACTATGATCTCCTTGTGGTCGGCCGTCAGCGGCGGCAATGACTGGATGAATTATGGGGAGTTGATCAGGCCTGGCAATGCCCCAAGCAGGGTTTGTGGAAGCGCGGTTCGCAGATGTGGTCGACGCCAGCGAAAAGCCCCATGCACAGGAGAACGGGTGATTTCTACTTTTTCCTCTTCAACTTCTATGTGGCGCAGCGAGCTGAGAACCCATTCAGGGAGGCTGCCATTGGTTGGCCTTGCAAGTTGAACGTTTTTCCAGCGCTACACAGGGGGTCCAATCCGGACTTCACCTCAAACCACTTGAGTTTAGCTCATCTTGCTGAAGTTTGATAAAAGGATTGCCACATGCTACAGGATTTGTGCAACCTAGCCTGCCGAGAAAGAGTTCAATGCGGATGCTGCATCTTTCATCTGAACATCGCAACAGAACGCAAGGAAATTGTAGCAGCTTGGCCTCCCAGTAAAGCCCAGCTACCGGATGACTTGGTGTCAGAAGCGGTCATTTGGAGCCCATGCCGTGCCCTCCCTGCCCTTGGGCGCAGCAGGGTTTAGAAAAGACACTGACACCCTGCATGCAGCTTATCACAGCACAAAACCCAGGGACAAGGACATCTCAGCACTTCAAGCCCTCGCTGGACCCTTACATTGCAAAAAGAGGCCTTTTAGTTCCTTCCATACTTGGCACGCCATTCTTACCAACCCAGAGGTGCGTGATAGGTGTGAGGTTCACATGCAACTCCAGATCATCAAACCCGAGCTGCATCCGCCGTTAGGAAGAATCTCCGTGGCACGGTAGATTGTCCGAGGCGTCCCAACCATTCCCAACCTTTGCACAGCCCTGTTTTCTTGCACCCGCTTCTGATCATAGAATTAGAAGTTAGAAGGCAAGGCATGCCGTGGTGCTGAAGCTGGTGCTGATATTGGCAAGAGGGTGGGGCGGCAGTGTCAGATTGGCTGCTGGCATCTCACCAGAGGAAGACTCAAGTTCGACCAGTGGACAAGGGTCTCTGGGCAAAGTGGCAGGCTTAGCAGGCCTTTCACGAAAGTCCGCGATGGAGTTCGCGAAAGGAACTTCGGATTTTGCGAAACAACTATCTTAAGCTATACTTCCTTACATGCGGTCAAATGCATTTCCCTGCCAGTATTCTGATGAAGGTATCCCGCAATAAGCAAGACGCTCGTGAAACGCGTGTTCAGTCTCAGACTTCTAACCCGAAATCCGCGAAAGATCCGCGAAAGTTCACATAAGCGGAGCAAGCCCGCAGCCTGGCAAGCAACATAGCTTCTGCCTTCGATGATTGGGTTCGTTTCAAACATTCCGCGAAAGAATGGTGTTCGCGAAAAGAACTTGGGTTTCCCGCGAAGATCCGCCAAGAGTTTATTTTGGGATGATTGAGTTTTGGACAACGCCCATTGTGAGCTGCTGTCTGTGCTGAGATCCGTTCATTTTGCTGAGGTTCTGTGTGGTTGGCATGTTCAACGCCGCGAGCCTACAATTTGTTTGTGGCAAAGGTCTTGAGCAGTCCGGTTAGCAGAGATAGTTTTAACAAGAGGTCCGTGTGTCTTGCTTGACAGCCTTAGCTCAGGACCTCACCAATTGAGCGCATGCTTGCATTTGCTTAATAGGAGTGGCTGAGGTCTTGCTCGCCAGACTAGATCTTACATGGCATGGTTTATGACACGCACACACTTTTGCAATGTTGCTAACTGCCAGCTGTCGCTCGTGCAGAAGATAAGTGCTCGATCAGGTTGTCACTGGCGTCTTTGTCGACTCAGCAGTTTGTGTCCGCACGGGCGATGAAGTTGTGCAAGGCAATGAAACATGTTGAGATTGGAGCAAGCCCCGTATCGGCCGTTTGAGAGGGTCTGAGCTTCGGAGCACTAAGATTTGCCCTGTTTCCCAACTACTTCCACACTCATGTGCAAAGTCAGCTGTCTGAGCTCGCAGGTTCCAACTGAACGGTCAAAGGTTTAGATTCTGTCGTCATGCCTTTCCAGTATGGGAAACGGTACACTTGACTCCTGACTCAAAGCGCCACTCGCATCGGCTCAGCGCCAAGACTGTGACTGGATCGCTTTCTGAAGCTGCAACTTGTCCTGGATAGACTCTGATTAGACTTGGGCCTTCTGCGAGAATGAAGGTGTCACAACCAGTCAGAAGTGGAAGGTTCTTGCGCATGCGTTGCAGGTTACCTCGACGACTTGCGACAGACGACGGAGGAGCAAATTTATTTTAGCATGGACATAGCCCGCACCCTCCAAGATGCCATTTGTTCAAGAGCTAGGTTATCGACTGCTGTGCCATGCCGTCATTTGCAGACTGCCACGTTGTTTTGTCTTTTGCTGCAAGCTGCACATCTGACATGACACCATCTTCTCACGGTGAGGAGATCAAAGGCTTCTTCAAAGATGCGGACGCCGACGGTTCAGGACACAACAGGCTGCTGAGGAAGTAGGTTTTAGGTTTTGGCTTTCGGAGGATAGCACGGGGGATCCCTGCATGACTTAGCAGAACCTGAGGGAAGCACCAACGCAGACTAAGGGTTGTGGTGAAGTGGCTTCAATCACTCGAAGACATCAAGTGTAGAAACAACATGAGGACATGGCCGCAGAGATGGCTTCAAGCTGATGGTACCGTTTTGGGATGAGAGATGGAAACAGTTGGTCTGTGGCTTTGTTCGTTCTGTCAGGTCACAACATGCAAGAGTCTCTCAGCCGCTGACCACCCTGTGAGGAACCTTGAACTGGGAGGAGTTCCAAGCGCACATGAAGAATCCAGCGGTCAAGGCTGGACATCTCTGAGCTGCATGACTTGGCCAGCTCCCTTTCGTAGAGTCAGGTGTTGAAAGCTGCGTTGGATTATTCTGCTCTGACTTTACGCGGAATCAGCCGCGCAAAGCTGGACGCTGGCACTTCGAGCAGCGCTCGAGCGCAAATTGCTCCACAAGCATCTACATGGAGGTAAAACATGGCAAAGCCATTCCAGCCAAGGATGATCACCCGTCCACATGCTGCCTCAACAACCTAAGACAACAGCTTGCAGGATCACTTTGTGAGTCCTGACATATTTTGGATGTTACGAAGGCCCCGACCATTCAAACACCATGACATAGTAATGCCATTTTGCCAGAGGCTTATTTCTCGGGACTGGACATTGACCCGGAGGAGGTGGGCATTTTGATGTATCAATGGAGCATGTTGCAGGACTTCTTAAGCGACTTCAACCCTCCTGTTTGATGAATGCGTCGATGCAAACTGGAATGCTGCATAAATCTGGATGAAAGCTCGAGAAACTGACAACAATGGGAATTCTCATGAAGGTCACGGGATGCATTTACGCCGCATGATGGCTTGCAAACGTTTGACCCCTTGATGCTGTTGGAAGAGGCTGAGATCATCTTCACGATTCTGGATGGAGATAAGAGCAAGGACGGGAACAGGGTTCAGTGAAGTTTTGGAGCTGAACTAGATAGTTTCATCGCTTGAGCCCAGAGCAGGGCGCAAGGTTTGAGAAGAGGCTGCCCGCCACGATGGTTTCCTGGAGCACGAAGATCTAGCCACTCAAGCGAGGATAGAGGATGTCGCATAAATGGAACCCCCTGCTGTATGAGCAGACTGGCGGGACCAGGCGAGGCCAGGAGCAACGCAGCAAGCATGGAAGTGGGATGAAGGGGGATGAAGGGGGATGAAGTGGGGCTTGCGGGAGGGACTGGGAGGACAGTCAGGATGCTGGGCTGCTTCTCAATGCAATCCGTTCAGAACATGGATTCTTTGCGGACAGAGAGTCATGCCTCCAGAGTTCAGTGGTATAAGTGTTTCTACAGTTATCGTAGTATGTGATAGTGCACATATCATTGCCCAGGCTTGCCCCTGTAGCTCAAAAGTCTACCAGGAGATCAAGATTGATGAGTTCGTCCATGGCACGATGAAACTGAAGGCCCGTAGAAGAGATCTTGACTTGATTTTGACCCTTTCGCGCTGTAAAGTGTTGCCTGCCTGCCTGGCGGGTAAGTTGGGATCGAGAGTGGTTCCTCCCGAGAGATTTGGGAGAGTTGTTGGACCTGACAACTTGCTGCCTAAGGGCTCAGCAACAAAGCTGGATCTCATGGCCCTCATGTACGACCAGACGAGGCTGGCCTGGATAGCTTTCAAGGTAAACGGCTTTCCACCTGTGCATGTTCCGAACAGCTCCCAGCAGCAGTCAAGCTTGCAAGCTTTACCCCGACCCAAACCATATGCATGTACTGGACCTCAAGTTCTTCACACATGGGCAACGTGCGATGTTGCGCAGGCAAAGCATGAAGTTTGATGCCCTTTGCGACTTCGTTGAGGACGAGTTGGTAGACATCAAGCGCAGGCTGATCATCGCCCGCGAGGCAGACTTTAAATGCTTTCAAGGCTAGGTATTACGTGGCGGACTTCTTCCTTTGGATCTGCAAAGCCTTCAACCAAGCACCGGCTAGATCGGGCCAGTGACCAATACACTTCCGATGGTAATTGAGCTTGGTTCACAAACTCATGCCTTGACAACAAGAGTGAAACAGAAGTCTTGAAAAGGTCTTTTACGTAGCTGATCGCGAACAGGGACTCCATTCCCTGTTTTTCTCAAAGTGGGGTGCTCTCATGCAAGTTGTCCAGACGCGGAAGACGTCTTCATGTTTTTCAACTCTAAAATTATGAGTCCCCTCCTGTTTGGTTTGTGTAGTAAGATTCTATAATCTTGGGGTACATAAGCACATCTACTTTTGCAAGACTCCTATGTTTCTTTTGAGTTCAAGTGGAAGTCTGGAACCCTGCAAGTGTTGTTTCTTGTGTGACGTTCCCTGGCCCGTGGTCACCAGTAGAATAAAGAACATTCTCACAACAGCTAATTAACATGACTATTCATTCCTGTCATGTCCTTTCATGTCGTAAGGGTCATTGGAGACGACGGCTCTGTTTCCCCAGGCGCGGCAAAGAGAGGCCTCCCGGGAGCCAGATCGGTCCAGCCCCGAGCGCCCAGCCATGGGCGCTTCAGGAGCTTCACCGCCCCGAGCCACGCGGGTGCCGCCAGCTAGGGTGTCACTGGGGAATTTACCAACTAGGGTGGCTTGGAGGTTTAACTATGCTATGGGAGTTAATTTGTGGCAGATATGAGCCGTTCATTATGCATACCCGGAATCTCCTCATGAGGACTTCAATCGAGGCGGATCCAGACGACTTTAGAATTATGGCAGTTTGCGCGGTGCGGCTTACACATGGAGCCTCTGCTCATGGCTGAGACAGCGGTGTCCACGACGTAATCGTGTTTGGTCAGGGACATTTCCAAAGAGCATATGGCAGAGGGTTAAGAAGCCACGGGCTGTTCACGTTACATGATTCATATGTTGCGTAACTGTAGAAGTAGCGGCTGCGCGGTTGCGAAGGGATACCAGGCAGCTTCTCAGGGCCAGCAGTGCCCTTCGTGCCATTTGAGCACTCTGCTGAAGAAAAAGTTCTCTTGTGATTTGCATATCTTGTGTACATATCAGCAAGGCCCCTCAACAAAATCTACACAAAAATCGAAGAAACGATCGCCACAGGTAGCGCCCCTTCGCCAATCTTTTCATGCAAAGGACACGCAAGCTACAGATGGAGTTGTTGCATGCATTTTGTGCTGCTCATTGCCAGGTGCGCATCGACACGACGAGAGATCTGCCACGTGCCATGGCAGCTTCGCTGCACAAAGGGAAAGGGTTGAAAAGCGGCAGTAGAAATCAGGATTTCTGGGCACGTTGGGGTTCCTCTCCAAGCATTCCTTTTTGGAGGGTTTTCAATGTGGCGCCCACACTGTTCTTCAGCGGAAGTTCTTTCGGTCGCAAACGTGCTTCGTGGAGACTTTCTTGGGTGGCTCTCAGCTTGTCACAAAAGCTCCTCGTCAGAGGGAGCTTCGTTCATATAGGGGGAAGGGGGGGACGGGGGTGATTGCATTCGGTGCGCTCCAGCAATGTTAAGCACAAGCACGAGCTTTTCACATTTCAGGCATTGTGAACACGAAAGGTATTTTGCTTGGCTTGTTGAAGCCAGGAAAGAAGTATTTTCTCTGACCTTCTGCAGTTAGACTGCTGCTCCTTCTATTGCAAGCATGACAATATGTCCTTCTGGGACATTCTCCAACTGGTCTGTGCAAGTCGATGCCCTCTACAAGTTAATGTTGCGCAGAGCTTTAATTTCTGTCGCTTGCCCTCAATTTTCAGGTGCTGCCCAGTCCTTTCAGACAGCGATCATGACACGTGAAGCAATGAACTTCAACCAACAACGTTTCAGCCGTTTTTGAGGTAGAAACGTGAAGCTTGCCTCCGTTGTAATTGTACAGCATTGTTCAGCGGATGAGGCTGTGGCACGCCGCGGATGAGGCGCGCGTCCTGTTTCAGGTGATTTGTCGAGGCAGAGGATTTGGAACTTCTTTGTGGTACATTCTGTTACAACGTGCGTCTTGGAGTCAGTCAGACGTTGAAGGGCTCTTAACTTCAGTAGCAGTTGCGACGTACTGTTCAAGGAGAACATGCATCTTGCGCAACCCACAGACCTTTCAGCTTACCTGACCAACTAGCTTTCAGAGACTGTAGCGCTATAAGCAATCTCTCAGGGGTGTTGTTTCGCTCTGAGAAATTGATTCGCAACACTGCACTTGACTCTTGCTGGACGTCCATTTCTCTAGAATTGAGCACCTTTTCTTGGGTGGTATATGCCGTTGATGTGTTCACGAGGCTCGCAGGATGCTGGCTAGCGCGAGTGAGCGCTGTGAGATCGAAAACTTTGTAAATGCATCTGCTGGTGGGGGACAGAGGGTTGCTCGCGAAAACAAGAGCTAAGATCAACCTTTCAGTTTCTGCTCACGTGTGGCCTCGGGTCTCGGGTGTTGTCTTTTGATGGCAAGGACGCCCCCAGTTCACGATACGATTCGAGTCCATTTGAATCAGTGATATGTAATAGTTCAATACAGGAACCGCTGTGCAAGCACGACTTACGTAGCAAGCCACTTAGAAGCCCATCGACAGATGTCCAATGCCATGAACAAAGAGAATACACTACATTTCTGGAGCCCACTCAGCAAAGCGATAATTCGGCTTTTATTTGGGCCACCAGAGGGCCAAGCCCGATGCCCACGCGTTGATCCCGCATAGGTGGAGGTCGTTGTGTTTAGCCAATACTGGAGGATACTGGAGGCACATTGCTCCTAGCTTGGTAAGATGTGGGCAGCTCATGGCACATCCATCTGTGATGCTTCAAGCAATCAGGCTTTGAAGGTTTGGAGGATGCGGAAGGGCGTCCTGCCAACTATCGCGGCGAAGTCCTCGCCCGGTCCAGAGATGCAGGGGTGGTGCTCATCCTTCAGTTGGGCGTCTTTAAAGCAGACCCTTTCTCATCCTCATGACAGGAAAAGATGGTTTCACATGCATGCCAACAGTGGCAGGACAGGTGACAAGGCGGCAGCTGATGGCATAGCCGAGAAGCCAAACAAACCATGCACTGCTTCCTAGTTGAAGATGTGGCATTTGCGGTAAACATGATCACCTTCTGTCTTCGTACAATTGAGAAGCTGTCCAACTGCACCTGCCAGTCTTTAAATCGCAACGGGTCTCTGCTTAAGCAGAAGAAGTCCGACGCTGTACTTGTCGAAAAACAGGGATGGCATGGTGAATCTCAGGATGATGTCCCTAGCACCAGTCTGAGACGGGGATACCAGGGAAATCAGAGCAGTTGGAAGCATCTTGCCAACCACTCAAGCTGTTTGGCTTGGATTCTGCGTTACCGTGTCATGGCATGCTCGCGTGTGTATGCGTAAAACTTACCCGTGTCATGCATAAACAATGTTAGACAACATGCTGGATACCCCACTGTGCTGTGTCAGGCTTCTCGTAGGATTTTGTAAGCCAAACGCGTGCCGTAGAGACCCATGACCTTAGCAGAGCCTTTGCTTCACGCGTGGCCTTCGATGCCTGGCTGCAGTTTGAACTAGACATCCGTCCACACAATTGAAAGTAACATCCGTCGGGATTTCGTCACTCGCCTTTCAGGGAAGTGCCTTCGCATCTGCCAAACGTCAAAACAGATGTTGCGCAGGCTGGGATTACAACTCTGATCAGCAGGTTGAAGCGAAGAACTACTGAAGTTTGCATGTGCGGTTCTTCAGCTACTGCATTGGCTCCAGGCGAAGCTCACGCCCAACCACAGCACCGACAGCGATAATTCAGAAGATGTGGCTACGGGAAAGGGAGTTCCAGACGCTGGCCTGCAAGGCTGCACACCTCATCGACTCTTACCTTCCGCCGCAGAATGCAGGAAGAAAACATAGAGGGATGTGGTGCTGTGGTGCTGACACGCAGCCTGTGAGGACACCAAGCGCATGACTGGCGCAGAAGCAACCTTCACACTGGTGGCTTGAAGAGACAGATTCCAAAAGAGTTAGCAGAATTAAGACAGATTCACTTCGCAGAGTTGTTTTTGATGTTTGCTTGACAGCTTGGCATCTCATCCTGACTGCACAGATGAGGTGAGCTTTTTGCTGAACGTGGCGATGTTTACTCTGCCTTTCTGCTTCGTCCGTGTGGGCTGGCTTGCAGCAACTCTGCCAAAGTTCTGGCAAGCTGCCTTCTGTCTTGCTGCTGCTTGTTCTGAAGTGTTGGCTGGTTGAGGCCTTCCTCATCATGCTGACGGGGTCCATCTGCATGCTGGCAGCCTTGATGCTGCAGGAGATGAGCATGTCAGTTCCAAACAGCACTGCCTGATCAAAGCAGCCTTCCGGACTTCGGGTAGTTTGGTGCAGTTCCAGCTGTTGATGACACCTCAGGAAGCTTTGTACGCTCTGGTTGGCCATGGCGTCCGCTGTCCAGTGACCTGACTCAGTGTTTCAGAAGTGGTTCATGCTTCCAGTGCAGTATCTCCTGAGACTTACCCTTCCTGCCATCCGTTGCAGTGGCTCTGAGCACTCATATAGGCCCAAAATCGTGGTCTGAGTTCAGCATCTTCCTAGTAACGAAAGCTTCCCAAGCTTTCATCTTGAACCCAGCTGGAATACAGCTTTGCTGATCTGCACCATGGGGGCGTAGGGAGGGGAAGCCCCCGAACATGGTCACATTTGGAGTGCTTCGCGAGCCCGACCTCACGGCAGGAGGGCTGTGGGGGGGGGGGGGGGGGGNNTGTTTTGATGCGGTTTCGGGGTGCCGGTTCGCGTGCCGTGCGGGCTGTTTGGGACGCTACACGGCAGCTTTTTCAGCACGTTGGAAGCTGTTCTTGGGCGCGCGGAGGCCGTTCGCGCTCCGCCGCTTCGTGAAAAAATTCACACGACGGTTTGCACCCTGCTTCTAATCTTTCGTCTCCCCCTGTGGGTGCAAGTTCTCTGATGCGCGCAAGGATTATTCGGACCTGGCTACAGCTGCGCTAGGTCCAGCATATGCTTCTCTTGCACAGCGCCCTGGCCAGAATTCTGGTGCAACTGCCTGCAGATGGTGTCAGTTCTCGATCGTACATGTCCTAGGGCAGTTTGCTGGAACAGGGATTCGCCAGGATTGCGTAAGCAAGTGCAACGTCCGGGTGCATCTGACGGTGCACTGAGAAAAGGCTGGTGGCCTTGGCTGAGTTGGCAATCTATGGCAGCAACAGCGTGATCAATCTTGGTCCCTTGATCGCAGTTTTGTCAAGTTCAGATTGTTGGTTGGTGGCGTTAAAAGTTGTCATGGCTGCAACATGGTTGCAATATGCTACTAGCAAAAGGACATCATTAGCCAAAGCTTCAAATCCACCTGCAGTGTCCTCTGGCTTTCCCACAGTCGCAGCCGATTGTTTTCCCCAGATGGGTTGGGGGCTTCGCTGCATCCCGACTTCAGATGGCCTGCTTGCGCGACTTCATTGCCAGAGACAGAACCTGGCACTCACAGACTGCGAATCCAGTCATGAGTGCCAGAGAAAACTAACATTGAACGGCTGCTATCTCTCAACGGGCATGAGCATCCTGAAGACACCCCAGGAAGAAAAGCACCAGACGAGTTCGACATGTCTGGCCAACGACACCCCAAGAACGCCAAAGACACGCTAACACCCGAAGCTGCACCAAAGAGGACAACAAAGCAGACCCCTCATCACCAAGAGCACATGTCAGCCTTGGACTGGACACAAAGAATGCGCGACGGACTACAGGACGAAAGCAACTCACAAAGAAAAGCCTGCTAGCCTTACTCTCATTAGTATTGTTCCTTAGATAATTGCGTGCTTCTGTTTTTTTGTTTCTGCTGTCGTGGCTGGTTGGTTTTGGGTGCTCTGCTTCAAAGGTGTCGGTGTTCGCTTTGGTCAGTCTGGTGTAAACTTCCTTTTGGTGGTGATGCGTGTGAGCGTCTGTTGGTTTAGGGTAGCTAGCAGTTGGCCTGAACAGTTTCTTTAGTCACTGTATCGGTCTTGTTACAAATCTCATGTGTTTTGGTGTCCCCTCGGGTGTGACATTACAATTCTTGGTTAATGTCTTTTTGCATTTGGAAGTTTGATCTTGGAGTCCATCTGATGTTGGTGTGTGTGTTGCATGGGCATGTATGGGCGGTTTAGGGTATGGCGTTCAGGGTGTGGCTGTGGCCGTGGTTTTCGAAAGCTTCTTGTGGCTTCTTCAATGATCTGAGTGTTCTTTATGGTGTTGATGTCAGTGACTCGGGGCAGGGTCAACGAACAGCAGCTGGCAGGAGCAGTATAAGCAGGGCGGTAAGGAGGTTAGCCGACTTTGCCCGCCACCCTCCTGTCTCCTAACTTGAGTTCTTATTTTCCTGGATTTTCGCCTGCGAGGCAATGCTGCCATGGCTGTGTGCCCGTTATCCAGAAACTCCAGAATACTGGCCGGGTGTATGCTCTGCCTACTCCTGCAACTTGCCAAGTTAGTGGGATTGTGAGTTCACTTGATCTCTGAGGTGTGGAATTACTGTAAGCAGCTGCATGATGCCATTTTCAGCAGGGTGCGAATTCGCTGCCGCAACTCAGTCAGATCTGCAAAGGTTGCAGAAGTACAGTTGAAGCTTGACCCAGGTCGGCATTCTCTGACCGGGCGTTCGCATACATCAACTTGATTTCGTCTGCCGCGTCCATAGCAATCTTGGGCTTGCTGTTGTATGGCGGTTGGCAGGCGTCAGAATGGGCAATGCCGGATACGATCCCAGACACGAGCACTGATTTTTGGCACTACATTCCCAGCTGCTTCGCAATGATGCTTTTCACTGCCGGCACTCATCCTTTGATTTGTGGCGTCATGCACACAACACGCAGCTACATGGAGTTGCGTCGCGCAATTCTCAGTGCTTGGACAATCTACACGGCAGTGACCGTCTTGTGCGCTGGCTTGGCATATCAAATGTATGGATCCTCGTTGCAGCCCTTCGCCATGGACAATATTGGAAGGGACTTGCAGCTCCATCTGCAGGAGGGAGGAGCCAAGCTGAAGGTTGCTGCTGGCGTGTGGATGGCCATCAAGGTTCTAGTCGGCATTGTTCCCATTACGAGACCACTCGCCAACGCATACGCCCGGAAGATGAGTTGGCTGGGCCAAGACGAGGCCTCTGGGCCACTGCTGATGCTTCCAGTGCTCCTCAGCCTTGCTGCAGCGGCAGTATTTTTTGCTGAGCGCATTGAGGCCGGCAATGCCAAGTGTGGTCAGGTGCAGAGATGTGCTTGCTTGCAGTACGGTTCTGTCTTTAGACATATTCTATGGCTCGTGCTAGGTTACCCAAGAAGTTGTAGCCTCTGGACAAACGACTCGATTCTTCATTGGAATTATGATGTGAGGTTGCAATCAGCCATGCCAGTTGAAAGGTTTGTGGCAAGGCAGGGGGTGCGGTATTGGTCACATGATATGTTTGAAGCAGAGCACCAAGAATGGCCTCACCAGCCAACAGCAGAAGCATGCAAGCATTTACACACGAAGCTGCAGCAACGTAATGCTGAGTTGGTCAATCCTCCAGTAGAACCAAATCTGGAAACATGCGGCCCTTAATTGCTCGAGCCTGAGCACAGACGTGCGGCCAGAGTACTGCCAGAGTATCCCTTAAGTCCCAGATCAACCAGAAACCTTGATGCAGGCGCTGGAAAGCATGGCTGGGTGTGCCTTGGCCTGATGGTTGCGAGAGTCCAGCAACAAACTTTGCAGATCCGTTGCGTAGAAAAGAGGTTTTCGAGTTTTCGAGGCACCGTCACCAGCTTCAACGTGCTGCTTCTGCCAGCCATTTCCTACCTGCTCATTTGCAAGCCGAGCGGAGCAAGCTACTGTTGCGCGGTCTCCTTCGTCGTCTTGGGTGCAGTGCTGGCGCTCTCTCCCATGGCCTACGTAATTTGGTACCTCGACACCTGATAGACCTCTTTTTCGCCTTTGAGATGTCAGCTGTGTTTGTGTACAGTTCACCGAGGCGGACCGCGAGCGGCTTTGAGGATATCACTCGGAGTTTCCATAGCATGGCAGAGGCTATGAGCGCTCTCGTTCGGCCGTGGTTGGCAGCTGAATCATGAAGGAACACGAAATGCGGCTCAGTTGTTGCTGCCTCCTAATAGATCTACAGTTCCGTTGGTCAGAGCTGATTTGGAGTCGCTGCTAGTGGCGCCGGCAAGGTTCAGGTATCAGGATTGACTTAATTTAGTTAGGTTTGTTCGGATTGCTTGATGAGTCGATTTTGAACAGTCTTGAACCCTGGATGCCAGATGAACTTTTTAGCAGACAGTCCCGAGGGCGCTGCTGCATCTATGGCACAGGCACGAGAGCGGGGGCAAGGTTCAACTCATGAAGCCCCGAGATCCCTTGGTATGCTGAATTTTGGTCTTTAAGGGCCTTTATGCAGTTTGTCTGAGTGCCAAGTGTTACCCTTCGCTCTTGTGCACCGCTGCCGCCGAGATGCCAACAACTCTTTAAACCGGATTTTGATTTGTACAGGGTGTTGCAGCAGGCGTGTGGATTCGCAGAATCCACCTATCGTCCTAAGCTTTAATTAGAATCTGGGGTGGAGATGGCTCGGCCCCAATAAAGACTCAAGTGAAACCCGTGCATTGTGCGTATTTGACGAGAAAGAGAAGGCTGTGCAAGTTTGGGTTTTCAGGTGGATGTGCTTCAGCCGCCAATCTCGCCTCCTCTGGGCGTTTTCAGATCTTGTCTGCAAAGCACGGTATTCTCCTCGAGACTTACACAGGGAACAAGGGGTCTCGTCGCCACGCTACCATCTGGTGTTCGGTATGCTCAAACACTACAGTGGTTTGCTAGCGCACTTTGTATTAATTAATTTCCCTGCTATCAAGAATCCTTCCGTTGGATGTGGAACACCAAGGCGGATCTTCAGCTCCAATAGCAATGTTATCGGAATGAAAAGTCGGCTCTGGCCCACCGCCGCTGTGCTTTAGCCTGCTCTTTGAGCCGCTTTCGATGTTGCGCAATATTTCACGACAGATGCCGATGCTTGCAAATGGACTAGTTTCCGCGTTTGGGATGCCTTGATCTTGGCCGCTTCTTTCCACTTTGCAGATCGTGAAGTGACACATGGTGACACCTACCATGCGAGGGCAAAGCAGAATCATGAAGCAGACCGCGCCGGGGCGCACGGAGATATGCGAAGTGCGTCTCGTTCTTATCGTGCACCGTTTGGCCCCAGAAGGAATGCCATGAATGTCTTGTGCGAAGAACGAGCTACGCGCAGGTAAGCGAGTACGGATGCACCTGTGCGATATGGTCGCAGCGGCGGCCCCTAGAGTGCTAGAATAAAAGAATGCATAGGAACAGTTGATGCCGCAGCAGGAAGCGGGCCACGACATTCGGACGGGCATGTCTGACCTTTCCAGGTTTAGCTCCCTGATGTGCCGGTGGAAAGGTTCCTGGACCTCACTTGGCTAGCTGTCAGTGCACGGCCAGCTCAGAGACCTAGGCGCCTCTTTCAACATAATGCTGTTGCACACATGCACTGCCGGTGCGCACGCGGCAGTAGCTTTTCTGCAAATGCACTTACAAACTCAGTTGTCAATGGCTGGCACGCTGTCCGTTCCACGCCTTTATGCTTGTCCATGTCAGGTTACTACAAGCACCTGCAAACTGCTGGTGCACTCCTTCCTAGAGATGATGTTTTCTTATTACGTTTTGGTTTTCCACTGAAGTACATGCACCTACCCAAACAAGAAAATGGTGCGATTCCAAAGCCATGTCCTTGTGTGAATGCACATCACAAACACAGGCCATCCAGGTGTCATGAAACAATATGAAATCAATGTGCCCAACATGTTGTGGAGTCAAGTTGTCGCCGGGGCTGTGAGCTGAGCAAGAGTCTCTCAGTATAGGCTTCTGCTGGACACCGCGTGGATTGAATTTAGCTTATGGCGAACCACAGGCGTCTGGCCCGATGGCATCGTCTTAGAAATCAAGACGTTTATTGTGTAGCTGTGCAGTGAAATCGCCCATGACAAATATGTGGTGCTATGCTGCGACTGCTTGCCAATCCACCCGTGCATATGATTGCAAGAAGCAACGGGCTTGCCGCTGTGCTTCGGAGGGGCATGTGACCTGGGATCGGGGGCAAAGGGCTCCGATGGCCACAGGCCTGCCGATCCTTTGAAATTGGAGGTGCCGCCTGCTGCCAAACCGCCGCGCGGCACCTAATGTGATACTGTGTCACAGTGGCCTTACACAATGGGCAGACTGCCGTGACGGTGACGCGGGATCTCCCAGAGTCGTTGCCACCAACCTTTTGAATGGCACTGGGTCCGCGTGCCCGGCAGCCATGGCCGGATGGCGCGCCCTTCGTGCGAGCTGCAGCGCGATTATGCCCGTCAAATTCCACTCCGGCATTGATGCCTTGGTGATGCTGCCGCGTTTTGCCTTTCAGACAGCTCAGCAGAATGCGTTTTCCGGAACGCCGCCAGGCGCAGCAGAGCCGCCTCGCGGCACACGGCTGTGCCAAAAAGCGTGGTCCGCTCATGTCTCGAGCTCCCATCCTGCTGCCAACATCAACATCATGAGTTGCCTTCAAAGCGAGCGTAAGGTCCTGGCAAACGCCAGCGCGCAGATGCTGGATCTGGGATTGGCTGTTGTTGTTTTTCTCCCTGCCACTCGCTGGTCAACCACGCCAAGTGCGGCCTTCGGTGCCGGTTGGGGTAGCGGCCCAAGCAGTGGCCCTGGCTGACCGAGCACACGCCGCCTGCGCCCGCATTGCGGCGTCACCGTGGTGTGTGAGCTCGAGGCTGGACTACGGTACTTTGGGATCGTCACTGTTTGTTGGTGTGACGTGCTTCTGTTGACGTTTCTCATGAGCCTCTCTGCTGCAACTCAAATGTGGGTTTGTTACGAAAGCTTCCTCAAGCTTTCGTTCAAGTCCAGCTTTGCTGATCTGTACTAAGGGGGTGTGGGGGTTAGGAAAGCCCAAAAGTGGTCAAATTTGGCCGTGTTTTGCGGGCCAGACCCCACTGC